TCCAATAGTTCCCACTCTTGTTCCAAACGCAGGACATCGAGTGAAATCCCTCACAAATTTTTCAAATTCATCTAGTAGATTTCCAATGCTACTGATATACCCAAGACAAATAAATACTCAGAAAAGTCACTTAAAATGACTTAAAAAATCACTCTCTTCAATCTGTCAGCTACAAAACAACACATATAACCAACTTCATTATCTGTTAGGTACTGATGATACACTGTGGAACACACATGCTGATGTAACTTGTAGTTTGCCCTTCACCTACTATCAATGTGCCAAACTCTAACACTGTTTGTGTGGATATTCAGGATGTTTTTCAGTGGCAGTGCTTACTGTTTAATGAACATCAAGAGCATGGCAAGACTATATGGAATGACATTTCAGCAGGACTGCTGTTAGACTGCATAGATTTTACACTGTTATCTGTATCTATTCAACTGAAATTAATTTAGATCTATTGGATATATTTATTATATGCTCAAAGCTTCCAGTGTATTAACAAGATTATTCAAATGAATTAGGAAGACAAAACCAGAAGAGTAGTGATGATGCAAACATTTAAAAGCGATCATGAACACGAACAATTTAAAATCACAAGATATATACATATCAAGTGTACACTACAATATTAAATATGCTAGAAATAAGCAGTTTGATTTGTACACTGCATTCTTTCCTTACCTGATCTTCAGAGTCTGTGGAATACAGAGAATAACCACAGTCAACATCTGAATGTGCCACTTTTCTCAGGCCAACCCTGGAAGATAGAAGAAAATGTGCTGAAAATTTCATCATCAAACTATGAACAAAGGAAAACCTGGACACTTTTTAACATCTAGGCAACAAGAAATGCTAATACACCATTACATTACAGAATCTTTAAAAGATTATAGAATCTTTAAAAGTATAGAAACGCACTTGTTATTTAAAAACAATTAAACCATTTGAAGACACTGGATATTATACTTGGTAAGAGAACTGAAACCTACATTATTATCATAACTAAAACAAAATTACCATATATACTCAGCTATAAGTCAACCTCATATATAAGTCAAGGGCAGGTTTTGGTCCAAAATTATGGATTTTGATATGACCCATGGATAAGTTGAAGGTAAAACTTAGGGGCATCTAACAAAGCATGTAAAGGATGAAGCAAAGGAAAACAATGCCAAAGAACTTACAAGATTCCAGCAGACATAACTGTTTGTGCTCATACTAAAGGCTGAATGGATGAGAAAATAGAGGGGGTTCAATGATTCCAGGGCAGATGACATTCTTGCCTTTCACCAGGCGATGGTTCCTTTTTGAATCAGAGTTAAAGTATAGTACCTACACTTACTCATAGATAAATCGACTCAAGATTTTTGGGTCAATTTTTGACCTAATTTTTTTAGACTTATACATGAGTATATACAATAGATCCTCAGCAGCCAATTGTTGTCATAACATTTTGTTTGTTAATTAGTCTTAAATGTTCAAAGTAATTGTTTACTTGTTGCATGCTTTCAAGTTGTTTCAGACTGATAGAGACCCTAAGGTTTTCTTGAAAAGAGGAAGTTTGCCCTTTCCTTTTTTTGAAGCTGAGAGAGTGTGACTTACTCAAGTCACCCAGTAGGTTTCCATGGCCAAGTGGGAATTCGAACCCTTGTCTCCAGTCATAGCCCAGCGCTCAGACCATTACACTATGCTGGCTCTCTCAAAGTAATTAGGACTAGAATACCTCGACTGTAAGATTTTACTTTTACAAAGCCTGCAGGAACCTGGCATTTCAGCAGCTACCAGGGCAACACCTACGGCAGTGGTGAGAAACCTGTGGCCCTATACGTTTTTTTGATCTCTAATGCTCATCAGCCTCACCCAGAATAGGTCAATGATCAGGGAAGGTGGGAATTCTAGTTCAGAAACATGTGTGGTATCACAGTACCTTCATCACTGGTCCAAAACGCACTGCACAAATAATCCAGTTTGAGAACGCTTTAACTGTCCTGGCTCAGTGCTAGGGAATTCTGGGAATTGTAGTTTATTATGGCACCAGAGATATCTGACATAGAAGGCTAAAGGTCTCACAAAACTACAGTTCTCAGAATTGCTTAGGATTGAGACAGGGCAGTTAAAGCAGTCTCAAACTGAATTATTTCTGCAGTGCTAGCTGACATGTTAGGGCCTTTACAGACTGCCAGAAATAGTGCAAATTGAGGCCACTTTAACTGCCCTGGCTCAGTGCTAGGGAATCATGGGAATTGTATTTTTTTCTGGGACATTGAGCCTTCTCTGCCAGAGAGCTCTGGTGCCACAATAAACTACAGTTCCCATGATTCCCTAGCACTGAGCTAGGGCAGTTAAAGTGGCCTCAATTTGCACTATTTCTGGCAGTCTGTAAAGGCCCTTAGTTAGTTCTCTTCAGGCCAACTGATATGGGAGGGGGAAACATGTCCCTCTCAATGTGCCAGAGACAGGTACCATGTTTGTTTCAGGGACCACCATTTTGCACAGCACTAAACTAAAGCTATTTGAAGAATAAATTGCTCATACTGTGCCGCACCAAAGTTAAAAAAAGAATATATTCTTACTGTTTTTTTCCACCAGTTAGTTTATTTGATCCAGTCAGTCTTCCTGAAGATAGTACCTGTTGATAGTACAAGCAAGCAGTCATTATTTTATATTAGCTTTCCTGAGAATTTTCAACAAGAAAAAGCACCTCTGGCTTACGAAAAAAATAAGACATGACAGTTGCACTAAAATCTATTCAAAGTTGCATTTTGGACTTTAAAGCTACCATGTAAGTGATGTTTCCTTGGAACAATTAGCTTAAAATACGATAACTTAAACAAAACAAAACATATTGCCTTCATTTTTATTCCTAGCTATAAATATACTCATGAACATCAGCTTCAGGAGTCAACTCTGACATATTAGAAGTAGAAATGTTTGAACCAGGTTACTGATTCAGAATAAAAACTCTTTCCTTCCTCTGAGGCTGAGAGAGTATGACTTACCAGAAGTCAGCCAGTGGGTTTCCATGGCCAAGTGGAGATTCGAACCCTGGTCTCCAGAGTTGTAGTCCAACACCCAAACCACTGCATCACTCTCTGGGGCAACCTACCAGCAGCGTGTCACACTTTTGTGTTTTGTGAAATGCACTGGTTGCTTCTTTGCACCAGAACAGTTTTGAGGTTTTGTTGTTAACATATGAAGACCTAAACAACTTGGCACCTAGGTCCAAAACACACTGCAGAAATGATCCAGTTTGAGACTGTACTGCCCTGGCTCAGTGCTAGGGAATCCTGAGAGCTATATTTTTTGTAACACCAGAGCTCTGACAAAGAAGGTTAAATGTCTCACAAAACTACATTTCCCAGGATTCCCTAGCAGTGAGCCAGGACAGTTCAAGAGGTCTCAAACTGGATTATTTCTGCAGTGTGTTTTGGACCCTAGTTACCTAAAAGACCACTTTCTCTCTTGTACATCCATTTGGTCTGTGGGGACATCAGCTGCATCCACGCTACAGAAATAATCCAGTTTGACACCACTTTAACTGCAATGCCTCAATGCTAGGGAATTCTGGGAAGTGTATTTTGTTGCAGTAAAATGCTTTGCCACTATTTGACATATTTCCTCTATAGTCAAGTATTAAAAGTTTATTTATGCAACCCTCCTCTTATTAATCCAGCTCCACGTTTACAGTATTTGATGGACCACAATTTAAGTGTGGGACATCTACTAGGCAGAATGCTTTACTATTAGGTATTTGACATATTTCAGCTATCCTTAAGTTTTAGTCAAGTATTTAAAAACTTATTTACGCAAGCCATCCCTGGTTAATCCACCTTCACATTAACAGTGGTCCAAAACACACTGCAGAAATAATTTAGTTTGAGACCGGTTTATCCCAGAAAAAAAAATACAATTCCCATGATTCCCTAGCACTGAGCCAGGGCAGTTAAAGCGGTCTCAAACTGGTTCATTTCTGCAGTGTGTTTTGGACCAGTATTTCATAAGGCCATACAAGGTGTAGCACAGATTGAGTCTCCCTTACCCAAAATGCTTGGGACCACAAGGGTTTTGGATTCCTGATTATTATTATTAATATTGGATTTTGGAATACCTGCATATGGGTGCATAATGAGATTTATCTTGGAGACGGACGGAAGCTTAAAGACCTGGGTTCAAATCCCCGGGGCTCGGCCATGGAAAGCCACGGGGCGACCTTGGGCGAGTCACACTCTCTCAGCCTCCGCCTTATTAAGTCGGAAACAGCTTGAAGGAAGAAGGCACACAGCAGCAACCCAATAGCTTCCCAGAACTGCGTGCTTGGCTTCCTTGCTCTGCTCCCCCTTCCCTCCTTTCGGCTCCGTTTTACCTTGGGGGGGTTCCGTAGGGACCCCGGCGGCGCCATCTCCGCCTCAGAGCAAAGAGAGAAGGACACAGAGGAGGCCTAACCGCCTTCCCAACCCGACTGAGGGGCCCAACGGTCCTCAGAGAGCTCCTTCCCACAAGCCCCGCCCACTCACGCCCCTCCATTTTAGGCAGTGGCGGCGGTAGCCCGGGCGGGAAAGGAATGCGCGAGCAGGGGCGGATTCCCATTGGTGCAGAATACCCCTCAGCTGGACCAATGGGGGGAGGGAGGCGGGGCTTAGGGCAGGCTGTGCCTTTTAGACCAGCGGTAGGCAACCTTTCCCCTTTAAGGGCCGAGGGACTTCAGCTCCCAGAAGCCTCAGCCATGTTGGCCAATAGTCTGGGATTCTGGGAGATGATGTCCCTCGGCCCTTAAAGGGGACAGTTTGCCTCACCCTGTAGCTTTAGACCAGGGGTAGGCAACCTTTCCCCTTTAAGGGCTGAGGCTTCTGGGAGCTGAAGTCCCTCGGCCCTTAAAGGGGAAAGGTTGCCTACTCCTGTTTTAGACCCTTAGGAGGGAGGTTTGGCCTTCCCTTCCCTTTCCTTGAGGAGGCTGAGAGAGTGTGGCTTGCCCAAAGTCACCCAGAGGATTTCCATGGCAGAGCTGGGAACTGAACCCTGGTCTCCAGAGTCCTAGTCCAATGCTCAAAGCACTCCACCACACTACCATGGGGCTTTCTTGGCAAGATTTGTTCAGAGGGAGGCTTGCCATTGATGGCCTCTGAGGCTGAGAGAGTGTGACTCAGCCAAGGACACCCAATGGGTCTATGGCTGAGCTGGGAACTGAACCCTGGTCTCCAGAGTCTAGTTCAATGCTCCAGCCACTGCACTACCTCATCATGGGGCTTTCTTGGCAAGATTTCTTCAGAGGGAGTTTTGCCATTGCCATCCTCTGAGGCTGAGAGCATGTGACTTGCCCAAGATCACCCAGTGGGTTTCATAGCTGAGTGGGGAATTGAAGCCTGGTCTCCAGAGTTTTAATCCAACACCCAAACCCCAACACCACAGCGGCACCCGCTTACTTGGGAGTATGGAGGTCTTACATCTGAGTAAACACATCACATGTGAGGGGTTGAGCTGCTGAGTTGTTGGCTTCAGGTGGGAAAACTGACCTTTACTGGTCAGTTCACATTTTTCTCTTGTGGCTAAAAGTAAATTTTTAAACAAGTCCTCTGCTACTTTATTGACCCATATTATTTCATTGCAGGGTGAGATTTCAAAGGTAGGGCCCAGGGTGCACCCACACTGGAAAAATAATGTGGTTTGACACCACTTTTAAGTGCTGTACCGCCATTCCTATGGAATCCTGGGATTTGTAGTTTTACAGTCTGTATCCCTGTCTGCCAAAGTGTGCTGGTGCCTCACAAAATTACAAATCCCAGGATTCTGTAGGATAGAGCTACATCACTTCAAAGTGGTGTCAAACTGCATTATTTCTACAAAGCAGATGCATCCCATGTCTTTTGTTACAGATGGTCCCATGGAAATGCATGTTCTGCTGTTATACTGTAGCCCTAACTGGGGAGGAAATCCTTTTGAATTCAGCCAGACTTGAGTAAACATATTCAGGAATTTACTGTTTCTCTTTCAGACCTTACAACTGACATTTTAACATTATTACTTTTTTACTATTTACAAAATAAACCAGCTTCTTGCTGCTGTCAGAGATAATGGCCTAAATCCACTTGCTAGTTCTAACTAAGCAGAGCTGTTGCATTGATAGGGAGACAGTGGGGCATAGCAGTTTGGGTGTTGAACTACAACTCTGGAGACCAGGGTTCGAATCCTGCCTCTGCTGTGTAAACTGACCTTGGGCAAATCACAACAGTCTCTAAGCCTCATAGGATGGCAATAGCAAACCCTGTCTGAAGAAACTTGCCAGGAAAGGTCTGTGATAGGACGTTATCACACGGGGCCTAAAGCAGTCCCATCCCCGTCGCATCCCCGTCCCATTGCGGTTCCTTTTCCATCCAGAACTTACCGGTATACAGAAAGCAGCATCATTCCGGTATCATTCTGGTCGCGGCGCAAGTGTAATTCCCAAAGAATCCGGCATTCAAAAGAACGGGGATGATGCCGAATGATGCCGCAATGGGACAGGGATGGGACAGGGATGGGACGGGGATGGGTGCGACGTCGTGTAAAGACACGGGGAAAAGAACTGCAATGGGACGGGGATGGGCAGGGTTTCTCTGCGACGTCGTGTGAACACAGGGGAAAAGGAAGCAAAATGGGACGGGGATGGGACTGCTTTAGACCCCGTGTAATAACGTCCATAGCTTCGCCTTGGGGTTGCCATGAATCAGAAATGACTTGAAGGCACACAACAACAACAACTAAACTCCTACATAAGTCCCATTCATTCAATGGGTATACCCTATTTGGGACCAGCAATAGGTTTTGGCTAATAGTACCTTAAGGTCATGTGTCCGAGAAAATGGATTACCAAACCTTATGCTGAATAAAAATGGAAGATTTTTAAGATGCCACAAGAATGCTGTCTTTGTTGCAACAGACTTAACACCTTTGCTGTGCTGAGCAACTGGGAGGGACAGAAAGATGAATGAACTGAGCTATGGATTACTCAGACCTCTTAAAAATATCACAAAAATAGTGTCACCTCCATTCATAAGGCTGGAGAGAAACTGCAGAGCTTGCTTCAGCATGGGATGCTCACCTGAAACCCTGCACAACCCCAATGCTTCTGTCTAGTGGAAAACAAACTTCACCGAGGTCACTGCACCAGGGAGCGTGCGGCTTTATGGCTTCTCCCTTTCTGGAACAGCCCCAAATTGTGAATGGAGCATCCATCCCATTTTATCTTACAGTAATTCCACACGGCAGAATGAAACCAAATGAATCCATTTGAGATAATGTGGTGCTGGAGAAGAGTGCTGAGGATCTTATGGACAGCCAAAAAGACAAATAAATGGGTCCTTGAACTGATCAAATCTGAACTCTCCCTGGAAGCCAAGATGATCAAATTGAGGCTGTCGTACTTTGGCCACATCATGAGAAGGCATGACTGATTAGGAAAGAAAATGATGCTGGGGAAGGTGGAGGGCAGGAAGAGGAGAGGAGGGCCACATGTCAGATGGATAGACTCAATAAGGGAGATCACTGGACTGAATCCACAAGACTTAAGCAGATCAGTGTATAGGGGGGCTTGAAGATCTCTCATCCACAGGGTCACCAGGAGCCAAGGTTGACTCAAGAACAGATAACAACAACAACAACAACCAGAATTAAAGCAGTTTGACACCACAGGCCAAAACATACTGCATAAACAATCCAGTTTGAGACCACTTCAGCTAGCCTGGTTCACTGCTGGGGAATCCTTGGAAATCTGGACTCTGAGTGAAAACATAGCGATAAAACAACAGTGTAACCATTGAAATGTATCAAGGACTTTGTAGACTGCCAGAAATAGTGCACATTAAATTGAGGCCCTGCCCTGGCTCAGTGCTAGGGAATCGTGGGAACTGGAATTTATTGTGGCACCAGAGCTCTCTGACAGAGAAGGCTCAATGTCTCAGAAAAAAATACAATTCCCATGACTCCCTAGCAATGAGCCAGGGCAGGGCCTCAATTTAATGTGCACTATTTCTGGCAGTCTGCAAAGGCCCATAGTTTGTTGTGGCACCAGAGCTCTCTGACAGAGAAGGCTCAATGTCTTACAAAACTACAGTTCCCAGGATTCCCTAGGACTGAGCCAGGGCAGTCAAAGTGGTCTTAAACTGGATTATTTCTCTTTGCAATGGCCATTGGCCAAAAGCAATAAAGATTGATTGGATTATTTCTGCAGTGTGTTTTAGACCCATTTTAACTGTCAGGGCTGCATTCTGTGGAATCCTAGGATTTGTAGTTTGGTGGGGTATTCAGCCTGGTCTGTCAGAGGGCTCTGGTGCCACACCAAACTGCAAATCCCAGGATTCAGTAGGATAGAGTTGTGGCAGTTAAAGTGGTGTCAAACTGCTTTATTTCTGCTGTGTGGACACAACCTTACTCACTGGATGGACACAGCATGCACCTTTTCTGTACTGAATCTCAGAGCAGAAGCAGCCATGGACATTTCAACAAGTGGCTATGGACTGGGAGCACTGTGTCACCTGGTCTTCTACTAATAGAGGAGCTGTTCAGCAGATCTGAGGCTGTGGGGGGAGTTTCTGCAGAATGTCATCACAGTCTGATCCTCTGTAAACCTCACTGTGCTCCCCGCTCAACATGCCAAACCCTTGAACCCTGTTTTAGATGCACCTCCCAACACTCCCTTTGGATGCTGTCTCTCCAATAGTCAATCTGTTCCCTGCTCGTTGGACTCACTATTATCTATAGCCTCCTCACATTTTAATGTTCCACCAGGTGGACAAACTTCAGCCCTTCACCTGTTGTTGGACTGCCAGAAAAAGTGCAAATTCAGTCCACTTTTAGGGTTAGGGTTAGGGTTAGGGAATCATGGGAACTGTAGTTTATTGTGGCACTAGAGCTCTCTGACAGAGAAGGCTCAATGTCTCAGAAAAAAACAACAATTCCCATGATTCCCTAACCCTAACCCTAACCCTAAAAGTGGACTGAATTTGCACTTTTTCTGGCAGTCTGCAACCCCCCTAAATTGCCCAAGCCAGCAGTGCTGAATGATGCAGAGTGCTGTGAGTTGCAGTTGAGCAGCATCTGCAGGCTCACACTTTGCCCAACCCTGCTTCAAAGCTTCTAATCTAAAGCATGTACATAATTATTCCTAGTGGGGATGAAGGGTATAGGTGGTGTTTCAGGAGCAGCATCATTTTTGCTAAGTGCCTTCAAGTCAATTCTGACTTATGTATGGTGACGCTATCACATTGTTTTCTTGGCAAGATTTATTGTGAGGAGCTTTTGATATTGCCTTCTTCTAAGGCTGAGAGAGTGTGACTTACACAAGGTCATCCAGTAGGTTTCCATAATTGTGTGGGGATTCAAATCCTGGTCTTTGGACTCCTAGTCCAACATTAACCACACTGGGTTTAGGTGTGGACTAAAGTCCAGGGTGGATTCACTGTTCCGTTAACATGAAAGCCACTAGCTGCTACTGATGTTATGTACGGTAATATATAAGTTAACAGTTCAGAAGAAACATCAGGGAAGGCAAGCTTGCAAACAGAATGACCATACATCAAAATTGAATGTAAGGCTCATAACAGCAGTTCCTATTAGTGTTTCCCAAAGTTTGGAAATTTTTACTTTTTTGGACTACAATTCTCTTGGTGGTTCTCAATGTGGCAAAGTTTCAGGGGCAGCAACGTTGCATGAAAGCAGCTGCCAAAATAGGAGGCAGTAGTTGGTGCTATTAAGCCACCAACCACCACTGAGAAGAAAGGCTGTGGCATGTGAAATGAGGCAACATGTGTGGGCAGCCAGAGACAACGGCAGAGACATCGGTGGGTGCTCGAGATCTCACCCTGTTCCATGAGAGAGCCAGACCCATTTATGTTCAATTTAACAGAATAAAAGATATGACAAAGCAGAGAAAGAAAGCAAGTGAAATAGTTATAGACAATCCAGACTGGTTGTGCATAGGAAATACCAGTGTAATACATGCCCTAGGAAAAGAACCAGTGATATATTTCAAATGCTAAGACAAAACATAGTAAAATCACCTCATTTTCATTAAGTGTGTCTTGGAAAAGACCCC